CGCGGCATTGGCAGCCCCACACGAGGCCCCGGGCCGAAGGCGGGTTGCACACGGGGCTCCGGAGCGCTCCCGCCCACCAGGGCCCGACCAGATCCCAGGGCGAGTGCCACCCGGAGGCACGTCCCCGAGGGCTGGCGAGACGCCGCGGCAGCGGGTGGAGTCAGGACCTGCAGGACAAGCGGGCCCGCGGGGTCCCTTCTGGAGAGCGTCCGCCGGGTTCCCAGGCGCCAGCCACACAGAAGGCCAGGGACGCGTCTACGAGAGTGGAGGGTGCCGGGGTGCGGGGGGTCAGACGCCGACGGAGCCCAGGAACCCGGGCAGGACCCTGGGGCACCAGCCTGCAGGGGAAGCAGGAGGGTCCCGAGGGGCGGGGGCTCAGAATCCTCCCCAGGGCCAGGACCCAGCAGGAAGCCCCGAAGCCCGGGGAGCCCGTGACCTTGAGAACCAAGGCCGAGGTCAGGCTGGCGTCCCGGGCTGGCCGACTGCGGCCCTGACGGTGGGAGCCAAGATGGGCCGGTGGCAGGGGCGCGGGGACACCGCGGGGCCCATCCCCCCTACTGGCCTTGGATGAAGGGGCCACGTCGGCCCCAGGGCATGATGGCCGGTGGCCCCTGAGCTTGCCCGGCCTGTCACGTGGGGCCAGGTCCGTGGAGCTCAGAGTAAGGCCCTTAGGCGGCAGGGACACGGCACCCACTGCAGCGTCCGGTGTGCGGAGCTCTGAGCCTGAGGAACCCGCACCCCAGAGGTGCGCCCCCCTCGGCCCTCGACGCCAGGCATGTGCGGGTCGGCCAGTGAGGCGTTGGCGCGGCCCAGGGGACCCGCGAGCCCGAGGGGCCTGGGAGGCAGTTCCAGCCATGCACGGTGCTGCCGCCCTGCTGACCGTGGGCCTGGGCTGTCCCAGGGCATGGCCCAGACGCAAAGGCCGCGGGGATGGCGACCCTCCGGCAGCGCGGGCGGCATCGGCCACAAGAACACTATCGGGCGTCCACACAGCCTCTGCGGGCTCTTTGTGGAAAACCTCACAGAGCGAGCAAGGTGAGACGTGGGGCCCGGGCTGGGAGGTCAGACGCACCCGAACCCCGACGTGCGGCCCCAGGGTGCTGGGAGGAAGCCTCGGGCCTCGCGGGGAGGACGGCTGACCCCGACGGGTGGCGACCCCGATGGCGGCCTGAACGGCAGGGGTTCCCAGGGACTTGTGCCTGTTGCTTTCTCTGCCGGCAGGACGTTCGCAGGTGCATTTTGGGGGGACCCCTGGACGACGGCGTCGGATTCGCTGGGGGAGGCTCATGTTGGGCGACCGTGGACGGCTGGAACCCCGGGTGCCCCTCCTCCCGGCGCTCGGACAGCCCAGGCTACTCCCGCGGTGGCCGCTGGCGCGTCTGCTGGCCTTGGACGCGGCCCTTCTGCGAACCCCGATGGAAAGCAGGGGAGCCCGGGACTGCTCCCCACTGACAGTGGGGGCCCCGGAGTGTGGTGGGGGCGGCGGTGCGGCTCCCCTGTCCGCGTGGGAACCGAGTGCCTCCGGTTCCGAGGCCCCGCAGGGACACGGGGGACAAAGCCAAGGGCGGGAGGGCAGCGCTCCCGGAGTGCCAGGGCCGCGGGGGCAGGTGAAGCCCCAGGGCTGACCAGAGCCTGCGTCCCCCGCCCGCTGGCTGCGTGACCCCCAGGACAGCTGGGGGGGCCCTGTCCACACCGCCCCCACGCCTCAGGCCCCACCGCCTCCACCCCTGCCGCCCTGCAGCCTGGCCCAGGGCGCCCGACGAGGCCAGGGCTCCAGGCCTGTGGCTGACCGCCCCCCCAGCCCCCCCACCCCGGGCTCCTCAGCCGCTGGCACCCCTCACAGCCCCGGGACAATCCCAGCAGCCCGGGCACCGGGCGCCCTGCTCGGCACACCTGGCGGCCGGCCTGGCCCTTTACAAGCTGGGACCCGGGGCCTGAGGACCCCCCGCCGGGGGCCAGGACGGGCCAGGAGCCTGAGGGCAACACACGGCGCACAGCGCGGGGCTCACCGGGGCAACGCCGGGGCCGGCAGGTCGAAGAGGGCGCCCCCACCACGGGCCGTCCAACGGGGGGCTGGGCAAGGGGACCAGGACGGACGGGACGAGCAGGACGGGCGGCCCTAGACCTGTCGGCCGCCGGCTCCCACATCCCACCCAACGCTGCTGGGGCCGGGGGCCCTGGAGGCCACGGGAGCACGGGGCTTGGCCTCCGCCTCCTGCGCCGTCACGACCCGAGGGCCCCCCGCATCCCGCATGTGAGGACGGCTACCGCCGGCGATCCTCAGACCCCAGGGGAACCCAGCTGGAAGCCAGTAACCTGGGGACAACACAAAGGTCTCCCGTCACCTGGAAGCAGAACCACAGCCTTCCACATAACCCGGGGGTCAAAGGAGAAAGCTCAAAAATGATGATTAATAATAATAATAATAAATACAAAGAAGTGGGATTCAGCTGAGCGGGAAATTCCCAGGACGCAACGCAAATCGCCGATCACAGATCCATCATCTTCGGTCCCTAGGACACGAGGGAACGAGGGGCAGAGGAAACCCAAAGCAGGCAGCGGGCCACCTGCAGGACCCGTGACCTGCGGCGCCCCCACCCCGAGTGGGCAGCCGGCTTCTGCACCGTGACTTGATGGCCCGTGACCTACAAGCACCTGGACGCCTGGCGGCCGCGGGCACCCCTCCTGCCTGCTTCCTGGCCCGCGGGTCAGCACCCGGGCGCCCCAAGCTCGCGGCCGGTCAGACAGCAGGACGGACTGGGCGCCCCGACGCGGATGCCGAGCCCCAGGGCGGCCCCATCCCGGCCGGCAGCAGCGGGGCCTCTTCCAGGCCGAGGTGGCTGCATGGGCGGTGGCGCCCCCGCTCCCCCCGCGCCCCCCATCCCCGGGAAGCCCCCCCGCGTGCTCACAGCCCCAGGGCTCCCGCAGGGAGGTGTGGGAGGGGCACGCGGAGGAGGGCGGCCGCTCACCTGACTGTCCTGGGGTGGCAGGGGCCGCCGTGGCCCAAACCCTGGGTCTAGGGGGGGCCTGGCCTGGGGTCCCCACTGCACCGTGGCCAGCCCCTGCCGGGGGAGCCTGTCCACCTCCCGTCGGCTCTCCGGCCGCCTCCTCTGGTGATGCCACCCCTGCCTGTCACCCCCTTGTCCGCTTCGGCTCAGGGCAGGGCCACCCGGCCCAGGCAGGCTCCTGGCCCTGCGGGGCACCCGGGGTGCTGGCAGCGCTCCAGGCGTCTCTGGTTCCTCAACCACGCAGACCGGGGTGGGCAGGTCCTTGTGGCAGTGCCCCATTGTTCTGACGGCCCCCTACCTCCTGCCCGTCCCCGGGTGGTAGGCCGGGAACAGCAAGTGGGCCAGAGCGGATCCCGGACGCCGCATCCACCACGCATCACACCCTGCAACAGGAGGCTGCCCGCCGGTGGGGCGTCCCAACCATTGCTTTTGTTCCAGGATTCGGAGAAACACAGGATTGTTAACGTTCGTGAAAGGCGTGGACTTCAGTCTCCTGGGGGAAGGGAGGCTGCAACGCCAGGGTCAGCTCTTGTGCCTTCCCATGGCCATTGAACAGGCCCTGGCTGGCCTGTTGGCCCAGGGGAGCAGACACAGTGGCGAGGGCTGGGTCCCCCACCCCGAACACACACATCTGGGAGCAAGTGGTGCTGAGGTCAGCAGAGCCACCAAACTGAACCTACGCCGGCCAGCCCTGGCAAGGGATGGCCACGTCAGGCACTGGGTTTTGGATGGTTCCATGGAAACAGCAAAGCACCACCCTCGTTCTTCCAAGCTTTCTAGGCCAGCGCTGTGAAGAGAATACACACTCCATCTCCTCTCAATTCCATAAATATTTATTGAGCGTCTGCTACGCTACGGTTAGTGTACTAAGAAGAGGGGATACACGGGTGATCGGGATGAGCTTACTCCCCGCCCTGTGGAGCACAGAACCACAACTGTGACCAGTTCCACGAAAGAAATTCCTAGCAACGCACGATGACAGTTGAGGGAACACCTGTGGTGTTGGCAAAGAGAATCAGGGACCCTAATGAACGGGGCGCCAGGACAACACGCGTGCATCTGTGGGGACTCTGCAGGTAGCAAGGGTGGCAGCACACACGATGAAGAAATCTAGTAAGTGACAGTACAGATCCCCTCTGTGTGGCCAAAGTAGAGTTAGGCTGTGACCCAGAGCACGGGTGCACATACGGGCCAGCGATTCCAGAGGACTGAACACGCACACGCACGCACACGCGCACACACGCACACAGATCGTCTGTAACGCCTACAGAATAGGGAAACACTTCATAAACAAGACCAAGACGCTAGGACCACAAAGGAGAAGATTGATAAATTTTACTACATGATCATCAAAAATTGTAAGATAAAACACACTCTAGAAAAGTTAAGACAGCTGGTAGAGGTGGGGGGGGGGAGTGTCGGTAACATACATCACAGGTAAAGCGTTAGTGGCTGGAACAGATAGAGAACACCACGTCGGCAAGAAAAAAGGTAACCCCGTAGAGAAAATGGGAAAGGGAAATGAACAGGCAGTCCGCAGACAAGGGAGACCAGGCAGTCACATCTAGGCAGCCACGTGCCCCACGGAGAGCCCCGATGTGTTCACCCGCCGGCAGCACCAGCGTCTACGGGGGGCTCAACACTTGGGTTCTGAGGCTCGCGTCTCATCTGAAAACCACAAGGACCTGTCACCTAGTGACTACGGGAACATCTCGCAAGACACGAGAAGATCCCGATGTAGGGAGAGGCTGGTCTCTGTGGTAAATCTTGGAGTCAGTGACTGAGTGCTCCCCCGAGTGCCTGAGACCGCAATGCCGAGCGGGGACCCCCATGCTGCAGGCGCTCAGAGTGTGCCACAAGCCTCGAAAATCCAAACACCAGCCGGAGGTAAACCACGCTCCATTCTCATGTACACTGATGGGAAAAGACAAGAATCGTTTTTTTTTTTTAAGATGTATTCTTGAAGAAATGTTTAATTAAAAAAGTCAAAAGAAAAATTGAACAGTGCCTAAATCTTTATTTTTCATAACCTACATTTTTTCAAATTAGACAGTTTTACACTGAATGACACAAAAGGAAACTTAAATTATCAATAGTTTACACGTAAGCTTGATTCCAGTCTCAATGAAAAGAAGTAGAACAAAAACAAAGGCCCTCGAGAAAGCTTCCATATTCTGTCCTGCTCCGCGGACCGGCGGCTGCTGGCTCTGCTTCTGACTCGGATTGTCTGCGGTGCTCCGGGTGCCAGGCCGCGAAGCGCATGAGCCCCCCGCCGCAGCTCACCGGCCGCCCTCGGGACCTACTGAACCGGCTTTCCAACGTGAACTGCGTGACCCTGGCTGACACAGGCAACGCGAAACGTCTTCTGCCGCCCGCTAGTGACAATCAGTGATGCGGGGACAGGCGGGCCGGGCCGGCAACATCAGGACACCAACTCTGAAAAGCCAACTACTCTACTCGAAATTCATGTCTGGTGAAATGGGGCCAGATTCTCATCCCTCTATTTCCAAATTATAAGCATCCTCACACAACTTTACAGGTTAAAATGTCATTTGTGATGGCTGCATCTCTGATTCTACACCCTGAGACGCTGCTGGGAAAGGAGAGAGTTAATGTTTCTAAGAACGGACAAGAGCCTCGAGCTGCGGGCTGCTTGTGCCAGAGCCACCGTCTACGTGCTGCATCCCAGCCTCCTCCATGCTGCTCCCATTCTCTTCTGTGAGTGGGAAAATCTCACCGTGATCTCAGAAAGGTGGTTTTTTGGACATTATATAGCTATTTGACATATCATCTTTGCTTAATTAAAAAGGGTGGCATAAAAATCCCAGCAGAGGCGGCGTGCACGGGCTTGCCCTGGTACGGTCACGGGGGACCCCCTCGGCCTGCCTGCAGTGAGCTCGAGCACACACCCCGCTGCCAGGGTGAAGGATCTGTCGTGCCTGAACACCGGGGTCCTGGCTACATAGGGCGTCCCCAGGGCGTCCACAGTAAGGACGCCTGGGGCCCGCCTGTGCAGATCTTCCCGCAGTCAGTACTCATGAGCCGGGGGTAAGAGGTCAATTATTCCTGATTTTAATAAGACACCAATCCCTCAACTACAAAAAAATACATCCCCACGCTCCTTTTACAGGCATCTGTAAAACACTAGCACTGTGTAGTTCTAGATATTCGAGTACTGGCAGCTTCTCTGACAGAGATGGTCAAGCACACCGGGGCGGGTTTTCCTCTGGCAGGGCGAACCTTGGGTAGCTATTTATGATTTTAAGTAGATTATCTTTCACTTTCTCCTGAAGCTCCTGCCAGTTTCTGCTTCCTACATTATGCTTTCACATTAGCTATGATTAGTACATATTTACAGACTTGTGAGAAGAGCATGAAAACGTCAGAAGGCTTTACTAGGACTTTCCATTTCCCTTCTGCAGCAGCAAAGAGGCAGAACCAGTCCAACACACCAGCATCAGAGAAAAAGAAAAACACCTCAACAAATTAAAATAATATTCAAACCACAACATTTAGTTTATCTACATCCAGCTCAATAGCAACATTTATAATATATCAATAATTTTTATCAGATTTTTCTCTTTAGGGTACCTTTTTAATATGTTCTGATTATTTACAACTGTACAAGCAAAGCACACACTCCCAAGTGCACATATTTAATACAGTATCGACTATTTGCATTTACAGGATTTCTCAACAATCTGAAAAAGGTCAACTGTTGAAGATCTTCAGGGTATATTACAGACACCACTGCCAGGTCCTGCGCTACAGAACGCTCACTCGGTGACACCGCGGCGGCAGCCCCACGACACTGAGCAGCTCTGTGACCCACTCGCGCCAACCCGGGGGCCAGTCTCCACCAACTCTAAGCTGTCTTATACAAAAGTTAAGGCAAAGTCATTTTCAAGTTTAAATTAAATTCAAGTCTTTAAATATTGGATGGAAATAACTTTTAAAAAAAACCCTCAGTCTTATTAAATAACATTTTGTGGAATCAACTGTATGGTTACATTTAGCAGGAAATAGTTTAATGTCTGCTGCTCAGAATACTTAAAGAAAAAATTTAGGCATTTTAAAACAAAATAATTTATATTTAACTTTATTATAAACTGCTAGCTTTAGTGCATGCGTGTTCTTCAGAGGGCAGCACTTCCAGAAGGGAACCAGCGAGAGCCTCGTCCTGGAGGGAACTGTCGGCCTCGCCACCAGGGGCACCGCAGACACTGCGCTCTCACGACTGAGGTACCATTTCCGACGACGCGCAGCTAGGGAAGGCGCCCGGGGAGCTGGCTGACCGGGGCAGACGCGGAGCTACGCTGGCCCCCACGCCCTCCCCACCAGCTCGCAGGAGCAAGACAACATCAAGGTACATTTTCGCGGTGACACGTCAGTGGGCAACCAGGTTTATGTTTTCATTTAAGTTCTATTCACAATGTGCTTTGACTCTATCTTACACAACAGCCACTTGAGACGGGAGTGAGAGGCTGGTTACTTGCTTGCAGCACATTAAAACTCAAGGTTTCAGGGCTCTCTTGGGTGCATCTTGCCCAGTAGATCAAAAATGGGCTATACTTTTTTAAAAAAAAAAACAAAACAAAAACAAAAACACTAGCGTCACTTGCTAATAAGATTCTGCATGAAGCACAACTCCCATGCCAGCGAGGGCATGACCTGACCCCACCCCTTCTTCAGGCCACACTGACCGTGTCGCCTCCAGCCTCGATCCCAGGTGTCCTCAGCCCACCCATCAGTCTGGACATCTCAGAGAAATGCACTTGCTAACCAGTTATTTTTAAAAATGAAGTAGCATAGTTCCGCTTAATTTAGAAAAACTCACTATATATAGCTTGCATTCATAGCCACGTGGAGGCTTAATAAAAATATCAATTTGTTAGGATAAATGCATTTTCTATCCTGAAAAAAATCAGACTTATGCATCACCTCCAGTTAAGCACCAACCTAAAATAAGGTTTATATTAATTAAATCCTGAAAAATAGACTTTTTTTCAAGAGGGGGGAAAATCCGACTCATGGAAGAAAAACCACTTGCAGGCACCTCACCGGCCTCGTCTACGCTGCAAGCCCCTAACCAGCGGCTCACTCTCGGCCCCGAGTGGGACAGTGCTTAGATGTGGCGACCCCGGCTCCTCACAGCCCTCCCAGCCCTCGGCGCTCACTGAGGGGACTTGGGAGGGGTGCTCTGTTCTCTGTGCGGACGTTTTCCGGTGGCCGGAGGCGAGGGCCGGCGGCCTGGTGGCCTCCTCTGGTCTTTGGGTGGTCCTGGGTTGGACTTGGGGGCAGGGGGCTCTCTCTCGGCGAGCTTCTTTTCTTCTTTCCCACAACCGACAGCATTTGGCTTTTGTTCTTTTGGGAGCTGCAATGGGGAAGACGGAGGCTCTCTACTCGTCCTCTGACAAATCTCCGCGTAGCTGGGTTTTCGCAATTCCTGGGAAACAGACACAATGCTGGGATTACGTGCACAAAGGGACGTCTCTAAACATGTGAAAATAAAGTTCTCTTTAGCTAAAAGTGAACAAAGTTTTCAGTGGTAGCTCAATTTCACATTCAAGAGTGCTGTCATCACTTGTAAAAGTTCATAAATTTCAGCAACTTGTGCTTCCCCTGCAGCACGTGTCCCCCCCCCGCCCCATGACACTCTAGAAAGATCTTGTAAAAATAAACCAGAAAAGGTCCTGAGACATACAGTGCTGACTGTGCACTCTTGAGCCACACGGAAGCCGAAAATGTATGAGGAAAGGTGCCCCTGGAGAGAGCCAGGAGCAGCATCTACCTCCTCCGCCCACACGTCCTTGCAAACACCCCCACTTCCCATGGCACAGGCCCCCCACCTCTTACCAAGGAGCTCCCAGGAACGTTTGTGCCCATTTCAAACCAGCAGAGGCTGGCGGTGTGGATTCAGGACAGGTACAGGCAGAGTTAAAAACTTTTTTTTAAAAGTTAATTTTTCAGGTAAGTGGAAGCTTGAAGGCCAAACAACAGAAGAGAAACTGAAGACTGTTTCACCTCTGTAGGCCACTTACTAACAGTAACTGTGACCTAGAAAAATGCTTCCTTTAAAGATGCAGTCTTGCTGACAGGGTTTAACTCCCGAATCTAACGACAGAAGTTCACCCCAGATCCAACAGAGGACAAGAGGATCAGAATCGATGAGGCCGGGTCCAGCAAGGGGGAGGAGGGGGTTGGGACCAGGACGGAGCCGCCTGTGGGGAGGAGGTGGGCAGGACCCGTGTGCTCGGAACCCACAGGGAACACAGGGCTGCAGTCTCGAGACTTCAAAAGACAATCTTGCTCAACCAGCAGTCCAATAAGAAGAGCCCGGGGTGGCGGCCACAAGAATTGACCCAGACACTCATGGGAGGCCAGCAGCCAATGCTCCAGGTGCTCGGCACCAAAGGCACAGCACCTCCACACGTAAACATCCCATCGACCAGACTTCACTGACAGCAAGCTGCCCCAGCAAAGGAACTGTGGCCCCTCCCCACACCGAGCCCCTCACCCAGGGGTGGCAAAGGTGTCCAGGACACGTACCGTGGCAGCGCCGTTCACCTGCACCGATTTACTCGCTGTTGTAGTTAGGGCAGAAGGAAGTCTGTCCACACTCGAAGGTTCTCTCTGCTTCTCCACCACCTTGGGATCCCTGTAAAAATGCCACCCCAGGTATGAATCTCCGTGCATGACCAGCAACGGTGGTGTGACCACACGGAGGCCCAGCAGCAGGAGGTACTTACTCGGGCAGACAGGCGGGGGAAGGGGAGCGCCCGTAGGCTGCAGACACAGCACAGGGGGCCGGCACCAAAGGCTCTCTGGGGGTCACTGCGGGGAGTGTGTTCGTGCCTGCGTCCGCGTTCAGACTCTGCAAACCAGGGGAATGACAGTTTAAATTGGACAAAAAGCAGCCATGAGATTTCCATCACACACCAACAGGTCCCAATGTGAACGACAAGGCGGCTTCCCTCCTCCCTCCTGGGGGCCCCATGCCAGGGCTCCCAGCTCCGCCTCCACCTATGGGAGCAGCTGGAAAACACTGCCAACCTGGCACAGAGCCCATGCCTGCCAACACCTCATCGCTTCTGAGACTCACCCCCCGTCCCACCCCAAGCCTCCCTTCAACAACTGTCCACAAGTTTGTTTTCTCTGCACAGTAAGTATCAAAGGCATCTTATTCCTGACACCCCAGGGCCTAGCACAGCCTGGCACACAATGAACCTTCAAGGAGGTTAAATGTTAAATGTGGAGTCTCCAACCTAATTCTCTGTGGATCCTTCTTGTACCTAAAACCAAACAGATCTATGCTTCAATCCAGACATAAATCTGGGTGCCTCGTGGCGGCTGGCAGGTGTGTGAATGCCCAATTTCACAGCTGAGGAAAACGAAGCTTGGAACACGTATATAAACTTGTGGGTGGTCATAGGGCAAAGACGTATCACCAGATGCTCTTCCTGCAGCCACTGCCCCCCGCACAGCGGCAGTTTAGCAGGGCAGTCTTCCTCATGCTGCGTGACCAACATGCCACTGGACGGGAGATTGAGGGCACAAAGAACGTATTCCTACAATTCTACTGTCAGAGCAGATCAGAGGTTCAGAACTGGCAGAACCGAAAGCATCTAGAGGAAGCGGATGGACGGGATGGCGCTGCGGCCCTGCCAGAGAACCAGACCCTGCACAGGTTCACGTTTGAGCTAAAGGAGCCCAGGCTGGTAGGAATGTGGGAGTGGGAAACACCTCCTTTAAAAGTTCATTTACTCCAGGTATGGTCTTGATGTGCCCAGAGTGCAGACGGCGGCCAGGCTGGGACCCAGCGCACAGCCCCCAAGGACAAGCTGTGAAGGCCCTCTCCGCCAGCTCCCACACTCGAGCATCAAGGCAACAGAAAAAGCTGTTGCAAGGGCTCCACTGAGAGCTGTGACAGAGACTTTTTCCCCTGGCTGTGGAATTTGGCTCAGACTTTTTAAAAGTAGCTATTCTTGAAAAACCACACAAAACAAAACTACACACGGAGACTCACAATGTAAAAAACTGTAGTTGCTGGTTTTGAAGTGGGATGGAGGCTAGCTTGTCCTCCAGTGCCCGCCACCTAGGGGAGTGAGCCAGAGGCCAGGCAGGACCCTGGACTTCAAGGTCCTTCAACCACCCTGACGTGGACATCCCTGGGGAAGGCACTTATGACCCAGACACTGTTGTCTGAAAGTTTAAGACTTAAAGTAATGCCCATGACATGCCCAAAGTAGTGTGTGATGGTTAGTGCAACACCGATTCTTGGAGTCCACTCTGCCTTAACCGTTAACAGTGGGAGTGGTAACCATGCAGCAGCATGACAAGGATTGATCTTGGGGCTTCCTATGTCCCCCGAGCCCTGGCCTGTTGACAGAGGGCCTTCATAGGGGCTCTGTAAGTGTATATGGTCTGGCTGCGGCTGCAAGGTGGGCCTGCCCCAGTCCAGGGGCCTTCTGGCGGGGGGCAGCGACTGTGGTGTGGAGCCAGGCAGAGATCTCACACAAGGATGCAGGTTGCCATGGCAACTCGACATGCCTGGTGAGAGCTCAGCCGGGCACCATCCATCAGTCCCAGCAGCTGCACAGACCTCAGTGCCTTGTTCCCTATTGCAGAACCCAGAAGGGGCACGGTATGATTGGACTCTCCGGCTTCTGCAGCTCACCTGATGCTTGGGGCTGTGGTGGGTCAGAGGAGTGAGAGCAACTAGCATGGACGCAGAGCTGACCAAAGCCACCAAGCAGTATTACAGTAAGAGGTTTCTAGGCTTCTTGTGGAGCAGAGCACTTAAAATTGTATCACTTCTGTTGTAACGGAGATTTCTGTTTTATTTTGCAGACTTGTAAAATAAAGGCAGGACCTTAATAACAACAAAGTGCAGTCTGAGTGTGTGACCGTCCCACTCCTAATCCACGTGGCCTCTGGACTGCTCACCCTCCTAAAGCTCTCCCGCATACAAAGACTGCCTGTGTGAAGAGTGTGGCAGAGAGCCCAGCACAAACTCAACACTAAGCAAACATCAGTGGTATGGATCTTACCCTTTCTTTTGAGGACCCTATTAACAAGCTAGATAGCCTGTTTTCAAACAGGTCCTCTGTCTTCAGGTGGCCTGCTGCCCCAGGCAATGGAGGGAAGTTGGACAGTCCTAATTCGAAGCTCGGGGACGGGGGCTTTGGTGGCGTTGGAGACTGAGTTTGACTCCTCTGAAAGAGAAAAACCGTGTCACATTGCAGAAGCACAGACCATAACATACGAAGACACAGCAGCAGCATAAGGCAAACAATCCGTTCTCTAGGCTTCTGATTTCTACATCTGAGTGAAACCACCAAGAAGGCTCCCAACCACCACAACACTCTGGCATTTAAGCAAAAGTCATTGATTAGGCAGCTGTAAAGCTGAACCCCTGTGAGGCTGCCGCCGGCTACACAGAGCTACCTCTGCAATGCCAAGACTGCCCAGTTCTCCAACCACGGTCCGCCGACATAGACTGGGGGACAAAGGTGTGCAGCTGAACACAGCACAGAGATGGTGGATGACAAGCGAGGGAGGCAGACTCAGCCCCACCACCTGAACATCACGATAGCCTGAGTTGAGACCCTGATTGTCCTCATCTCCAGACAATGCTTATATTACTACAGAAGTGCTTGTCATCCAACTTATAAGAAAAAAAAAAAAGCCACTCTGAACTCTCTGAAACTTACATAAGAAATTTTACAAAGATTTCCATTAAAAAATGGTTTAGGGCAGCCCTGCTGGCACAGCGGTTTGGCACTGCCTGCAGCCTGGGGTGTGATCCTGGAGACCCGGGATCGAGTCCCATGTCAGGCTCCCTGCATGGAGCCTGTTTCTCCCTCTGCCTCTCTCTCTGTGTGTCTATGAATAAATAAATAAATAAAATCTTTAAAAAAATGGTTTAACAAGGGGGAAGGGGCTTCCGTTATCTGAAACCTAATTTATTCAAACACTTTACACTTTATTATTTTTTTAAAAGATTTTATTTATTTACTCATTAGAAAGACAGAGAGAGGCAGACGCAGGCAGAGGGAGAAGCAGGCTCCATGCAGGAAGCCCGACGTGGGATTCGATCCCCGGACTCCAGGATCATGCGCTGGACTGAAGGCAGGCACTCAACCGCTGAGCCACCCAGGGATCCCCACTTTACACTTTAAAATCACTATGCAAAACCATGGTATTTCATAACAGATTTTTATCAGATTCCTTGAGTTTCTTTTCTTCATAATGATATCCAAGAGTAATTTATAAACCCAAGATCCCAAGAGAAAGGCAATGATGTCTTTTTATTGAAAAAGTATCAAACCAACTTGCTTCAACAGGCTAGAGTCCTATTTTGAGTGTCTAATTCCTTGGCTGAAGAAGATAAGGAACAGAAGGGGAAAAGGAGTTTAGGTGGAATGCAGGCACTGTCTGTTGAATGTGGGCTCTTCTGACCAGAAACAAGGCTTTCGTGGGGCTCGCTTAGCTGGACGGGACCAACACTGCGCAGCAACTTACACCAACAGGATATTCCCTATAGAGGCAGAATCTGGAGAAAATCTGTAGAACTCAAGAGACAGCAGGTCAAAGAGTGAAAAGGGACCCACACTGACAAAAATCCCATGGTCTCTCTGGGAAATTCATCCCAAATGACATAACAAGGTAAGGCCAGAGCCAGAGACCTGAGCAAAACAGATAAAAGTAATATGCTTGAAAGAGAATTTAAAAGTAACGACCATAAGGACACTCACTGGGCTTGAGAAAAGAACAGTGAGACCCTTACTGCAGAGATAAAAGAACAATAATCAACAACTGATCAGGGATGATGAGCACAATAAACATGATTGGAAATGGGCTTGATGCAATGAACACCAGGCTGGAAGAAGCAGAGGAACAAATCTGTGACCTAGAAAATGAAGTAATGGAAAGTAACAAAGCTGAACAAAACAGAAGAATAATTATGGAACAAGAGAACAGACTGAGGCAACTCACATTCGTATCACAGGAGTCAGGAGAGAGAAAAGGGGGAGGAAAGTTTATTTGAGGAAGTAACAGTTGAAAACTTCCCTAATCTGGGGAAGGAGATGACATCCAGATCCAGGAGCATAGAGAACTCCCATCAAAATCAAAAAAAGCAGGCCAACATGAGACATACTGTAATTACATTTGCAAAATACAGTGACAAAGAGTCTTACAAGCACCAAGACAAAAGAAGTCACTAACTTACAGAGAAGACCCATAAGGTTAGCTGGAGATCTCTTACAGAAACCTGGCAGGCCAGAAGGGAGTGATATATTCAATGTGCTGAATGGGAAAACTCTGCAGCCAAGAACACAGTATCCAGCAAGGGTGTCATTCAGAATAGGAGAGACAGGGTTTCCCAGATGAACAAAACCTAAAGAAGTTTATGATGGCTAAACTAGCCTTGAAAGAAATATTAAAGGAGGCTCTTTGAGGGGAAAAGAGAGACCAAAAATTGAACAAAGACAGGAAAGGATCAGAGAAAATCTCCAGAAACAACAAAACAAGCAATAAAATGGCACTAAATATATATCTATCAATAATCACCCTGGATGTAAATGGACTAAATGCTCCAATAAAGAGACACAGGATGTCAGAATAGATTATAAAACAAACAAAAAACCCGCAAGATCCATCTATGTGCTGCCTACAAGAGACTCATTTTATTTTTTTTTTATTTTTATTTTTTTAAGTGCCTTTAAGAGACTCATTTTAGACCCAAAGACAGCTCCAGATTGAAAGTGAGGGGGTGGAGAACCATGTATCTAGAGCAAGTGGATATCAAAAGAAAACCAGATTAGCAATACTTACACCAGATAAACCAGATTTTAAACCAAAGACTGTAATAAGAGGTGAAGAAGGGCACTGTATCATAAAGAGATAAAGTAAAGATGATCTAAAAATTATATTCATGCATCCAACATGGGCACACCCAAACATATAAATCAATTAATAAAAACATAAAGAAATTCCTTAGTGATAACACAGCAACAGTAGGGGACTTTCACACTCCACTCACAGCAATGGACAGATCATCTAAGCAGAAAATCAACAAGGAAACAATGGCTTTGAATGACACAATGGACCAGATAAGACTTCACAGATACATTCAGAACATTTCTTCCTAACACTGCAGAATATACATTCTTTTCAAGTGCACATGGGACAGTCTCGAGAATAGGTCACACATATTATTAGGTCACAAAGCAGGCCTCAACAAGTACAAAAAGACTACGATCATACCAAGCATATTTTCAGACCACAAGGCTATGAAACTTGAAGTCATCAACCGCAAAAAAAAAAAAAAAAAAGATTTTTGGAAAGACTATAAACACACGGAGGTTAAACAGGCTAAGTAAGCAATGAAGGAGTCAACCAGAAAAATCAAAGAATAAAAAAATACATGGAAACAAATGAAAATAAAACACCATGGCCCAAAACCTTTGGGATATAGCAAAAGTTGTTCTAAAGAGCAAAGTATATAGCAATACAAGAAGAGAAATCTCAAATAAACAACCTAAACTTCACCTAAAAGAGCTAGAAAAAGAACAACAAAGCCTAAATCTAGTAGAATGAAGGAAATAAAAATAAGAGCAGAAATAAGTGATACAGAAACAAACAACAACAACAAAAAACTCATTAGAAGAGATCATGAAACTAGGAGCTGGTTCTTTAAAAAATAATAAAATTGATAAACCCTCTACCCAGACTTGTAGACTTGTTAAAAAGAAAAGAGAAAGGACCCTATATAAATAAAATCACAAATGAGAAAGGAGAAATTACAACACCACAGAAATACAAACAACAAGAAATTATAAAAAACTGTATGTCAACAGATTGGACACCTGGAAGAAATAAATTCCTAGAGACATATAATCTACCAAAACTGAAGCACGAATAAAGTGAAAAGTTGAATAGACTGAAAACCTGCAAGGAAGGTGAATTTTTAAAAAAAATCTCAACAAACTAAAGTCCAGGGCCAAATGGCTTCCCAAGGAAATTCTTTTTTTTTTTTAATTTTTATTTATTTTTTTATGATAGTCACACACAGAGAGAGAAAGAGGCAGAGACATAGGCAGAGGGAGAAGCAGGCTCCATGCACCGGGAGCCCGACGTGGGATTTGATCCGGGGTCTCCAGAATCGCGCCCTGGGCCAAAGGCAGGCGCCAAACCGCTGCGCCACCCAGGGATCCCTCCCAAGGAAATTCTACCAGCATTATCCTAATTCCAAAATCAGATAAAGACTTCACAAAAAAAAAAAAAAAAAAAAAAAGAGATAGAGAGATCTTCAGGCCAATATCCATGATAAACATGCATGCAAAAATTCTTAATAGAATACTAGCAAATTGAATCCAACAATACATTTTAAAAAATCATTGACCACAATCATGGGATTTACTGCTGGGTTGCTGGTAGTTCAATATCCACAAATCAAGCAACATGATCCACACCACATTAATAGAAACAAAGGTTAAGAACCATATGATCATTTCAGTAGATGCAGACAATGCATTTGACAAAGTACAACATCCATTCACGATAAAAACCCTCAATAAAGTAGGTATAAAAGGAACATATCTCCACATGTAATAAAGATCATCTATGAAAAACCGACACCTACTATCTTTAGTGGGGAAAAACTGAGAGCTTTTCCTGTATAGTCAGGAACAGGACAGGGATGTCCGCTCTCACCACTGTTTTTAACACAGCACTGGAAATCCTAGCCAGAGCAATCAGACAACAAAAAGAAATAAAGGTCATCCAAATCGGCAAGGAAGAAGTCAAAACTTTCACTATCTGCACATGACGTGATAGCCTATATAGAAAACTGGAAAAGATTCCACCAAAACGCTACTAGAACTGATACATAAATTCAGTAAAAGTCACAGGATACAAAATCAATGTACAGAAACTTGTTGCGTATCTCTGTACCAATAATGAAGCAACACAAAGAGAAATTAAGGAATTGATCTAATTTACAATTGCACCAAAACCAGTTAAGATATCTAGGAATAAACCTAACCAAGGTTTTGTGTACAGGCAAAAGACCTGTACACTCTGAAAACTATGAGACACAGGTGAAAAGACATTGAAAATGATACAAAGAAATGGAAAGGCATTCCACTGCTCATGGACTGGAAGAAAGAATATGGTTGAAATGTCTCTATATCCCAAAGCAATCCATACATTTAACGCAATCGTTGTCAAAATAACAACAGCATTTTTCACAATCCTAAAATTTGTATGGAACTACAAAAGGCCCTGTATAGACAAAGCAATCTTGAAAAAGCAAAGCAAAGCTAGAAGTATCACAATTCTGGACTTCACACTGTGTTACAAGGCTGTGATCATCAAGACAGTATGGTGCTGGCACAGAAACAGACGCACAGATCAATGAAACAGAACAGAGAATGCAGAAATGGACCCCAACTATATAGTCAGCTAATCTCTCACAAAGCAGGAATGGAAAAAAACATTTATCCAATGGAAAAAATAAACGGTGTTGGGAAAACTGGACACCCACACGCAGAAGAATGAAACTAAACCACTTTCCTATACCACATACAAAAATAAATTCAAAATGGAGCAGAGACCTAAATGTGACAGCTGAAACCATAAAAATCCTAGAAGGCAACACAGGTAGTAATTTCTCTGACGCTGGCGGTAGCAACTTCTTTCTTGGTATGTATTCAGAGGCAAGGGAAAGAAAAGCAAAAATGAACTACTGGGATTTCATCAAGATAAAACGTTGCTGCATAGCAAAGAAAACAGCCAACAAAACTAAAAGTCAACTTTCAGGATGGGAGATATTTGCAAATGACATGTCTAATAAAGGGTTAGTATCCAAAATATATAAAGAACTTCTAAAACTCAACACCCCAAAAAAGGAATAGTCCTATTAAAAAATGGGCAGAAGGGATCCCTGGGTGGCTCAGTGGCTTGGCGTCTGCCTTTAGCCCAGGGCGTGATCCTGGGGACCCAGGATCGAGTCCCACATCGGGCTCCCTGCATGGAGCCTGCCTCTCCCTCTGCCTCTCTGTGTCTCTCATGAATGAATGAATGAATGAATGAATGAATGAATGAATGAATAAATAAATAAATAAATAAATAAATAAATAAATAAATAAATAAATAAATAAATCTTAAAAAAAATGGGCAGAAAACATGAACAGACATTTCTCCAAAGATATCCACAGGGCGAACAGACACTTGTTTTTTTTTTTTTTTAATTTTTATTTATTTATGATAGTCACAGAGAGAGAAAGAGAGAGAGGCAGAGACACAGGCAGATGGAGAAGCAGGCTCCATGCACCGGGAGCCCGATGTGGGATTCGATCCGGGTCTCCAGGATCGCGCCCTGGGCCAAAGGCAGGCGCCAAACCGCTGGCGCCACCCAGGGATCCCCCGAACAGACACTTGTAAAGATGCTCAATATCAACCATCAACAAGGAAATACAAATCAACACCACAATGAGACACGACCTCACACCAGTCAGAATGGCTAACATGAACAATTCAGGAAACAACAGATACTGAGGAGGATGTGGAGAAAGGGGAACCCTCTTGCCCTGTTGATGGGAATGCAAGCTGCTGCAGCCACTCTGGAGAACAGTGCGGAGGGTCCTCAAGAAGTTAAAAATAGAACTACCCTAATAAGATCCAGCAATTGCACTACTAGCATTTTACCAAAAGGATACAAAAATATTAATTCAAAGGGATAAATGTGCCCTAATGCTTACAGCAGCATTATTTAAGCAGCCAAGATATGGAAGGAGCCCAAGGGTCTATCAACTGATGAATGGATAAAGAAGATGGCCTGTATATGTGTGTGTGTACACACAATGGAATATTACTCAGCCATGAAAAATGAAATCTTGTCATTTGCAACGTCACGGTTGGAGCTAAAGTAATATTAAGCTGAGTGAAAGAAGTCAGTCAGATAAAGACAAATATCATACGATTCCACTCATGTAGAATTGGGATAACACAAGCAAAGGGGAAGAGAGACAGAGGAAAGGGAGCGAAAGAGGGAGATAAACCAAGAAAATAGACTCTTCACTCTAGAGAACAGACTGCTGTTCTACGAGTGATGGGGATGAAGGAGGCACTTGCTGTGATGAGCACCGTGATGTGATATATGGGAGTGTTGCATCACTACGCTGTACGCTAATATTACACTGCATTGATTAACTGGAATTATAACAAAAATTTTTTAAAAAAATAAAATGCACCAGAAAGAAAGTAAACACACACCCATAAATCCCTCTTTCCTGCACCTCTGTGTGTTTCTCACCCTTATTATGGTTCAGGTGCCTGAGGTTCAGCTCAGTTTTGGTGAGTGACGTGCCCTCAGAAGCAAACTCACACCTACTAGCCACTCAGCCCCTGCATGCTCTGGGTAACTCAGCGAGGCTCTAAGTTATGTACAGACCTGTGGTCTCCAAGTTCTTAAGGGTTTTATTTTAAACATCTGCATTTTTTCTGAGGTGAACCCAGCTTTTCAGAAGACATTTTCAGGCATTCAGACTTCAAAAATTTACTAAATCTTGAGTTTCTGGGCACTCGAGAGGCAGGCAACAACTGCCTAGATGCAGGAATTACACAATGGCACTGGCAGTGCCTACAGAGGAGGTCTGATTTCCAAGGCAGTGTTTAACATTTCTTAAGATTTGCAGCACTTGAGGTGAGGTAGGAATGCGGCCCTACAGCCTGGTTGGGCCAAGTTACTTGTCTCTTAAGTTCCTGAAGTTACCAGCATGTGCCATCACAACCACAGATGCACCCTCTTTAAGAAATGCACCTCCATTGTGCGCCTGGCCTTCCAAGTAGCCACAGGTATTACCATATGAGTCAGGGACACAAAATGTAACAGAGATGGCAATGGGGATAAATGTCACCTCTGACAGTAATTTAGTAACCAAGGAGAGTAATTTACTTAAGGGAACTAATAACTGCAGACCTGCTCTGCTCGTCTTCTAGTCCAAATGTCACAGGAATTCATTACTTCCAACTGAGATCAACCACTATAAACTACCTTACCAAAGGGTTTGCCAAAACCCTGACTAAACAGACCAAGAGGTAGAATTATGGGCATCTATTAACTTCTAATTGGTACTTTCTAAGTTCTAGACAGAGACAATCTACCTTTTTGTGATGAGAGAGCGCATCCTCACTGGCTCAGGGACTGGACCAAGAATTCACTCGAGGTCTTTCCAGTCCTCCAACCATCCACATCTCCACGTTTCCTCCCACGTGGCCACAGACACGACTGAGAACTTTGTGTGGAAATGCGCTGGCTCCCCCCGCCCACCAGAACTCAGTAGAAGCGTCATCCATAGGAGGACAAACTACTGATGTAAGCCAAGCAAATGTGGCCGCGCCTCTGGTATGTGTACTCACAGAAGCCCACTCCATTCCCCTGGGTCCAGCCCTATGTTAGAGCAGAAGGCAGTGATGCGTTTTCTACTCAGGGGATACAAGTTCAATGTTCTGAATGAAAAATCCCGATGAACTAACTCCTACACAAGAGAAGTTCATTCTGCTTGTCAGAACTATTCATTTCACTTAATTTACCTTGTACTGTACAGTTACCCACACAGAACTCATTGGAATGTGTGCATCGACCCCCGTGTGTCTACACTATGTCCTCGGCCATGCCCATGCCGAGTGCACAGCGTGGGAGCACACAGACACCCGGTGGCGACATTCTGGACACTAGTTAGCATCCAGCAGAACCGCCTCCAGCCTCTCCTCTTCAGGCCACAATGTCCACTACCACCTGCTGTGCATCAGCGTGAAGATGAAACCTCTGCTGAAAAGCTCCCCACATCTTTACCTCCATTCATGTAGTTAAATCTCAGGTTTGTCTAGTATGAACTAGGTTTAAAGGTCTTGCAATAGTGACAAGGGCTGGATATACTCACTGTCAGCTTTTCCTCCCGTTTCTTCCGGTAACCAAAGGAATTCTTCCTAGAGAATAGGAAAGTAAAAGATTGTGAACTTTTTCCCCACTTGGAAATCTTTTCATTGAGTACATGTGCTTATATATTCAGTCTTTCTTACTCTGTAACAACTTTAAAATATTTATTTGAGACTAGGGGGTAGGGGAGAGGGGGAGGGAGGGAGAGAGAGGAGAGAGAGAGAGAGAAAGCACAAGGAGGGGGAGGGGCAGAGGGAGAAGCAGACTCCCTGCAGAGCAGGGAGCCTGATGCGGGGCTCCAACCCAGGACCCTGAGATCATGACCTGCGCTGAAGGCAGATGCTTCACCCACTGAGTCTCCCAGGTGCCCCCAACAGATGACTTCTGTTTGAAAAATCCCAGCCTTAAGTATACGCAAAACAAAAATTTTATAATAAAAGACTAAAAGTGATGTCTAGATTAAAAAAAAAAAAAAAAAAAAAAGAAAAACATTTACTGACAGATTTTCCTAGTGTTCATTTACAATTTGTTATGATACAAATATTTGAATGTCCACTCAGTTGCAATGACAAGATATGTAAAATCAGACCACGAACTACACAGGTGAACTGTTAAACACTGCTAATGAAGATCTATCTGGTTAATCATTGAAGTGGAAAGACCCGGAAGTAGCCCAGCCTGCTCTCTCTCCCTCCGTGTCAGCCCTGACATGACCACATCAGCCCCCTTCCGCTACCACTGGCAGGCACCAGGGTGTCCAAGCCCCAGGCACTGCTGATACCCAGCTACTGGCTGTGTGCACAGGGCTCCAGGTTTCCGGGGGACAGCATCGTGCCCCGCACGGAATCAACAAACACCGACAGAGCAGGCATGTCCTGGCAGGCCCTGAGGCCACACGCCACTTTCATGCCTTGGACGGTCTTATGTGGCCTAACAGCCCACATGCTAATTATAGTCCATAAATTTCTGTTTTTATTTACTTATCCCGTTGTTATTCCAACTGAATACACTGGTACTGAGGAAGTCAGAAGGGAGCTCAAAGAAAGAATCCTGACTACTCCTTACTTGCCAGAAACCTACAAGCAGTGTTGCCCAAGGTGCCTAACTACCTAGGACAGGCTCAGAGCCCTCGACTTTGCCAAGCAAGGACAGTCTGGGGCCTCAGGAGAAGCAACTAGGCAAATTTCTAGGATTTTGTAGCAAAGCCATACCCTCTCCTGTAGAAACTATTCCAAAAATAGCTCCTGCTTTCAACTGGCTCCCAGTGGAGAACATGTGTGACCATGGACTCGAGCTGCCCCTCGCAAATGGGGCACTAAGCCCCAGGGAGAAGCACCAACACCAGCAGGAGGAGCTCGTGGTCACCCCTACGGCCTCACAGGGAGTCCCTTAGAACCAATGACTGGGGGAAAGATCCTGACCTGCACAGGTGGCTATGGGGGTGCTGACCGCCTGGGCACCACACCACCATCAGGAGCACTTCCCAAAACCAGATGGCAGCACTTCAAGCAACATCCTGTCTGGACGCAGAAACGGCCCAAAGTATGGATTTACACTGCTTCTCCAGCAGGGAACCTAAGGATCTGGCTGGCTGAAAGCTCGGCGAAGAGCAGTGCTCAACTTCTGGTGACGGGGAGGCCCTGGGGGACGCCTATGGAAGAGACAGCCTGAGGACATCAGTGATGCGGCTAGCACTTTAGAAGAGACCCCAACAGCTGGGTGAGAAGAGGTGCGTCTGCCTCTTCTCCCAGTGCTGCAGGTGATGTTTGGGCCCTGCCTTTGCCCATCCTGGAGGTGGCAGCTGGGCCTCCATCACAGCGTCAGCACCATCGGACACATCTGAAGCTAAGGGAAGGGGCCAGAGCAGCATGCGCAGTGCAGACACCGTGGAGCAGAGGGGCAGGGACTCTTCACCATCATGCCCATCTTTCCACCAGCGTGATGTTTGCTCCCTGAGTCTGGTGGCTGGGCTGTGTCAGTCCCCCAGGACAGACCATTCCCACCAGGTGACACACCTGAGGCAGCCATCCACTCAGATGGAGTCCTCCTGCTTCTGCACCTGGCTGGGGGCCACCCTGCAGGCCACTGCCACGCAAGGCCAGGGCGGTGCTAGGGCCCCTCACTCTGCTCCTTATCACCGACAAAATTTAAGGAAAATAAAACTCAAGAGAAAGAGGGTTGCTTGTGGGGGTCACTAGCTAGGGACACGGTCACTTGGGCTCCCCCCCCACACCATGAAGATCCCTTGTCTGCAGGCACAGGAAACTTGAGCAACAAGAGAAGGAGCCACTGTCAGTATCAACCAGGGCTTCCTGAGCAGCTATTCCCTGGGCTGCATCAGCTCAATGCCTCTCCCCTAATGCCCTACAGAGGGTGGTCACAATCTGTAGGGGACAGACTAACCAGGCAGGAGTACCTGTTTGAGGGGCAAAAGCACAAGCCCATTCCTGCCGTCCTTTGGAAGTCCAAACTACGAGTGAGGATCACATGTGACTGTGTGGCCAGAGGTGGCCACGCTGGTCAACCTGATGCTTCTGTTTTTCTGATGCCGGGCGGCCCTATCTTTCCACTGCCAGGACACTTCCTGTGGAGCTTTTCCCTATAGGTGGTGCTGGAGGAGGTGGGAAGAGATGGGGCGTGTTCTCTGCACCATCCCCCAAGGAAGGAGCATGGATCCACACCTGAGACACCACTCGGGTGTCATCTTTAGGGCCTGGCCTCAAGTCCACAGACCCTGTGCAAGCATCTGGCGTCCACTATGCCCCAGCTCCTGGGTGGCGGCCACTGCCTGTGGCCACTGCCTCTGCGTCTCCTCACTGACCTTCGCTCTCCAGCACCCATGACAGCAAACGTTCTAGTGACGTGCAGCAGTGCTACCATCAGCCACTCTGACGCCGTCCCGTGGCCCTGACCAGGCCAGACGGCGTGCACCGTGCCTCTGGGCCCCTCGCACTGCCAAAGTGCAGTGAGCACAAGGTGTCAAGAAGAGAGGGGCCAGCGCTGCCAGAGCTCCCGTATGCAGACTTGAGGCTGGCACTGCATGCAACACTAAGGCATCTCCACATCTGATGCTTTCCAAGTTGGTGAGAAAAAAAGCTGAGGCAGGTTGACCACTTGAGGGGATTTCCTTTCTGAAAGCCCATGTACAACTGCCCACTAGAGAACAAACGGGCCTGATGCACACCGGAGACTCATCTCTACCGCATCTGACCTCACTCTCTAATGGGGGAAAAGGGGCAGGAGGCGCCAGAGCAAGCAAGCCACCTCCAGAGGTGAGGAGAAGCGGGAGGCCCACCTCCAGGTCACGACCTCAGGTGCCAAGGGCTCCTGGGTGCTAGTCCGTGCCAAAGGACAGATAAGCAACGTCTCCACTAAATGCAGCCAACAGGTACCACTAACTATCACAGCCTTTCTTTGTAAGTCAAGCTAGTACAAATGGAAGTGAAAGCCCAGTGTGCATGGCCGCACCATCCGCCAGCTGGAAAGGAGCAAGGCTGGGCTGGGAAGCTGGGCCTCTGCGGAGCTGGGGGCCATTGGGGAGGGCGTGGGGTCGCTGGTAGCTGCAGAGCTCCAAATCCCCGCAGAGAACTGTGATCTAACATGCTTCTTTCCACCCACAGTTCTCACTCAACAACTCTGTACTACAAAGAAGGTGAAGCTCGTAAAGTCTCATTACGTAAAACCTTTGTGATGTAGTTGAGAATAACAATTATAAAAACATACCTAAATTGGTGGAATTTGAAAATACTACTAGCTTATTTAGACAGGCAGGTCCTAGCCATTGGACAGTGGCTCTGAAGGACTCACCTCCCTCTCCCCAAGCCAGGAGGCGACTCCGCGCTGCTCTGCTCCACTCGACCAGACCCAAGCTCCCTCTTGGTGTAGGTTGGAGGGTTCTGTATCCGTGTTCTAGGCTGACCTGTCTGCCGGGTTTGTGGGCTCCGAACACCATTAATTAGCCGGTCTGCGGTGAAGTTAAATATCGAAGGGCTTTCTAACAGCCCAGCTCCTCTCTCTGCACTGGGAATGGCATGGCGTAGATGAGATTTACTAGGATTCCTGTAAACAAAAGGTTTGCATGCACTCAAGTTTATAATGCAATTGTGGCATCCTAAGACGAGATCGCTAATATACGAATGTCTCAGGGAATATGTGATATTTAGAAAAATATTTAAAATGTTACTGAAAAAATAAAAATAAAAAAGATAAAATAAAACGTTACTGAAAAGACAGTTCATGCATACGATATCTGACAGCGCAAACCTATAAAGTACCAATGTTCTGCTTAGCAGCAGTCCAAGCCCACGTTAAAAGCAGGCACACGCAGAGACAAGCTGTGGAGAACCTGTCCTTCATGTAGGCACTTCAGGGTTTATTCTCACAGAATGTAAGTGCCTTGAGCACTTTTATCTGCATCGGTCAAACATATGCCAATAGGTCATCAGAAGCAGATTTCTTTACGTGACTCACACACGTGGTGAGGACTACCAGGTTTGACACTGTTTCTCTGGCTTTGCTCTTCAAGGGCACGACGTGGCAGTGACCTCTTACCGCAAACCCCAGAGAACACAGCATTTCAACCACTCATGAACTTGCCTGCTTCTTGGAGGGTACTGTCTGAGCGAAGTCAGAGGAGATGCTGCAGGTTTGAAGGTTGGAGACGTAAACCCATTTATAAATCCAGTACTTGGAAACGGAGTTACCTAGATTCATTAAAAACAAACAGGTCAACAAGCCATAAACAGACCTGGGATTGGCTAACCTTGTACCCTGTGGTGGCCTGGGCCATTTCTAAACGTGCCAAAGAAACTCTGCTCCATTTTATACCAAAAATATTCCCAGGCTGAAAAGAACACGGGCCAGGCCAGATCACAGCCAATGACTGGTATTTCCTGAGCCAGGCTCAGGCTAAGGCCTTTTCCCGGCTGACTACAGTGATCCCCCCACAGCAGCCTGCCGAGGAAACCCAACGACACCAAGGAGGCTAGAGCCGGGTACAAGTGGGTACAGGAAACGGATGTCAGAGGTAGCACAGGACCAAAAACTGTTTGCTGATTAAAAAAAGAAGAAGAAACAACAGAGAGAAAACTCTGTACTACAAAGAAGGTGAAGCAACAGAAAACTCTGGGGCAGAAAGATACCCTTCAAACTTTGTTAGAATCTTCAACATAGTGTTTAAGAACTGCTGCCAGAGTCCAACTACTTATAAATGTATTGATCACACCAGAACTAGATTCTGAACACTACACCACGAGACAAATCACCTCCTCCACACACTGGCACATGCAGAACTCTATTTGTGTAACTGTGCTCAAGAAATTAAAAATAAATTAGTTCCTAACCCAATAATTTAACATGACTGGCTGAGAAACCACAGGCACAGTATCTTCACACCTGCTCAGAGTGCCACAGTATGCTTTAGAGCACGCGAAAGGCCTCACGTGCCCACCTCCAAACCAGGATCAAAGGAACCCTCCTAATGGCCACACAACTGACCCTGGGTGCCAACCGCCCCTGCTCCCCAGCAGGGATGGGTGCAAACAGACAAATGAGAAAAGCAACTCAAGAGGAACTCACCAGCACTGGCATGGCAGTTAGCCTCGTCTGGAGAAAGGCCCTCTTTCGACACACCAGCTACGTGGCTGTTGGCACACTCTTACGGAAAGTAGCAAAGATTTCAAAAAAGTAGTGCATTATCAGGATCCGCTCTAAGACCGAGATGCAACTCTGCACAGTGGCACCTGTCTGCTAACTGCCCCCCACTGCGGCGGTTCTAGACCTCGGAGCTCTGCTGGCGCCCGAGAGGACCTGTCCTGACTCTTCCTGGCTGCCCTTCTCGTGTCCCACAAGCCATGGGCCAAGTCCACATGCCTCAGGGCACGTTTAAGGAGCCGTACAGCTTGGCCCTGACAGAACGCGCCAGCTTCATCTCCCAGCTCCCCGCCTGAACCTACACATCAGTTCGGAGACACCCATAATGCCACAATCCCCGGTGTCCGGGCACACGTGGCCCAACCTCCGGCAGCCTCCCTCCCTTCCAGCCCCCTCCGATAAGTTCAACAGAAGAAGCCGTTACACCTAACAAGCCCCTAATTGTAAGTTCCAGTGTTCTCTGTCCCATATTTTCAATTACTGCCTGCTTGACTGACATCGGTGTCTTTTCCAGGCTGCATTCCTTCACAGACACGCACCTTTACGCGCTGGTATGAAACAGGCACCAACCATCCCACAGGAGGCGACGCTCGTCTCTCCAGCTCCCTCTTCAGTCAACGATAGGCCCAGATGACATCCGACATGGTGGGGCCTGGCTCGCAGGCATCTCCCACATCCCGCAAGTGACCCGAGCACCACCCAATGTTCCCTCCTGACTCAGTCCACAGCCATAGCCTCAAAACCATTAACTCGACTCCTGCTTCCGACCACAACCTTCCCCACACGCCACGTTCCTTCTCTGGTTCCAACTAAAGCGGTCCTGCCACCTCAGGCACACCTGTCCCTCAGTCCACCCCACTGACTCAGGTGGGAGGCCAATGAAAGTTGTGATGCTCACATCACACACTCCACCAAGCTTGTGCCAACACCCAGCCAGGGATCACCTGACCTCTCCAACCTCTCTGGCAGCACAACTGCAGAAAAGCAGCTGGACCCATGACACAGGCCAGTCAACCCTACAACTGGTGTGAGAAAACAAGGTCATCATCGGTCTTCTACTTGTCCTCAACTGTCAGGAACCTATAAAAACACCTCTGTCTCCTTAAAAGCATCTCTCCTGGCAACCCTCCTGTGCTCAGGAGTAACCTGGTTATCCGAGAGCTCAGATCACATTCTGTGTTTTACTGGAGATTACACAGCCTAGGAAGTTACTACTACACAGGAGGGTGGGTAAACTGAGCCAACGATCAAAATTATAGCATTCCAAGGTTTTAAAAAGATTGTCCACAGCTGCATATTAATCTCCCAACTAAATGTGAACCCACTGTAGAAGGTGACAGCCTATTTTATGAGCGCAACCTGAACATACATCTGGTTCCACTATGAGATCAAGACCTCCATTCTTCTGAACACCTAGTGCAGTGTCCACAACAGGACTTCCCACTGCATGAGCTCCAAGCAAAGACAGGACTCACCAGGGGTGGGTCAAGATAGCTGTGCGTTGCCGACCACGTCTGGGGGGCAATCAGGCTGTATAGGGGGAACTGCTGCTGGGGGCTGTAGACCGGAGGTAAGTAAAAGGAGGCTGTGTAGCGCTGCTGCGCATAAAGGCTCATGTCCAGAGGTCTAAATCCATTCTTTGGCAAAAATGTGTTTATAGCTATTGCCTTTGCTTTTATCCGTGCCTGTGTGGAAATACAGAAATTTCTATCAGAATACTTAGTAATTGATTTGCAAGTAAATGAAGTATAACCAATGGTCTTGCTTACCTTAATTGGTTTTCCTTGAAAAGTCTTGACTTCTTCTCGCAGATATTTGTAAGCCTGAGGACAAAAATCACCCAAAATGCCACTGTGTTAATCTTATAAATAAGATGAACTGACAGTTAACTCAATACCTCAAATAAGGAATGGTACAGCTAAAATATGATGGACAGGACCTAGAACAGTGATTCTTAACCTACTATGGGGTCACAGATTCCTTACAAGAACTTCCATGAGCTAGAGAGCCTCTAGCAGAAAATCTCACAAACAGCATTTACATGCAATTCTAGTAGTATTAATAGATACCATAAAAGCCTCTCACAACCACAGGCTAAAGATCCTGACCTGGGAAAAATAATGGACACCTAGTCCCAAGTGTTAACCAATATGAAAATGGAAGCATACAGTTCAAGAAAGGGAAACATGAAGGCTGTAGTCTTCAGAAGTCCCTATTTATGGAGCCCCTTATTCTTCTCCAAGTGCTCTCCTTAACTCTGAAGGCTCTGACCTCGGCCTACCACACTCCCCCATCCTGGTGAGGATGGCTTACACCTACTCTGCTGACAAGACTTCCCTCCCACCGCCTGGCTCCTCCGATGCCCTTCCCCTCCATCTCATTCAAATTGGTCTTTCAGACTTTTGCTTCTCTCTTCTGAACCTCACAGCATTCACATCACTCACCACTTAGTACCATGCAGCTGACCCTTGAACAACACAGGTTTGAACTGCAAGAGTCCACTGGTATGCAGACTTCTTCTGATAAATACAGGACAGTACTATAAAGGTATTTTCTCCTCTTTATGATTTTCTTCACAGTATTTTCTCTTCTCTAGCTTATTTTACCATAAGAACACAGTATATAACACAAGTAACATACGGAATGTGTATGGATTTGTAAGGATTCATGTAGGTCAATGGTAGACTATCAGTAGCTAAGATTTGAGGGAGTCCGTAGTTACACGCGGATTCCTCACAGATCGCCTGTTGTTCAGGGGTCAGCTGTACTGGCATTCCTTGAAGCATGTTCATGTTTCCCCCAAGTAAGACTCCTCCTTTTAGGCCAGGGAGACCATCTTAACTCCTTGATCTCCTCACAGAGCTTTCCCGGGGGCCTTTCCAACTATCTTACAATATACAATGATGCCTTATCAAAGTTAAAATTACGTAAAGTTTCCCAAAACACTTCCCAAGTATTAAAACTTTTCTCTGTCCAGATGAAAAAACTCATTTTGATGTGCTGCTTGTCTTACACGTCCTTGGGAAATAATGTCATAGGCTTTATGTATCGCCTCTAACACTGTGTCCACAAACATACCTATTTCAGTCTCTACAACCTGATTTCCTCTGCACTTTATAATCAAACTTCGGACAATAATGCAGCCGTGATCTCAACGCCCCGATTCAGTCCCCAATTCAGTTCATGTACTACTTGTTAAGTACTGGTAACACTGAAATTCATGGGGTGGGAACAGCTTACCTGCTGTGCGTCAGCTTCTGTTTCAAATGTAATAAACCAATTATCATTATAGGCAAATTCACAGTTTATAAATTTCGGTAAATTGTCTCCTTTAAATAGTGCTTCTACTTCCTATGGGAAATAGAAAGGTAAAAATTAATTCTCGACGACAGCACATTTGTCCTCACCAGGAGAAATGGTGCATACACGCGGTGCTTAGACAGAGGCTACCATACTGATGGCTAGTAAAGGTCTTTCAGAAGAGCTGAAGAGCTAAGTGTGGCTCAGAATCAGAACCCTACTGCCACAGGAAGTACAGTACTTACTGACAGCTTTTCTTAGTACACCAAGAGACCATTAAGCTAAATTAATGTGAAAACTTTGTTTCACTGTACCAAAGCTGATAACTGCACAATTGGGGAAGCAGGGCAGTAATGTGAGAAATTTAAACATCAGCTGAACTTTTATTTTTGGCCAAAATGGATGAGATTTACCTTCCCGTCGAAATAATTAAAGACAAAAGACAAAATATATGAAATAACAATTATAGCAGAGCTCAGGCCATGCTGGGCAGATGAGCCTGGAGCGCCCATGGGGGCCCCACAGCCCAGTGCCAGGACGTGAGCTTGATCCAGCATCACACCTGCAGGGCTCTCAGGGGGTCTTCCCTGGGCTCAGTATGCATAAAGAGCCCCCTGAAACGACTAGAGGGAGCAGCAGCAGAAGTCACAAGGACAGAGAGTGTGTCTCCCCTCAACCAGGCAGGCAGAGTGGAAAACATTCCCAATGCATAAGACTTCAAGGCACAGCGTGCAGAAGGACACTGCTTCGGCATGGGGAAGAACGGGCCCTGCTTCCACCTGATGATGCTCCTAAAGGGTCAAACTGAAACTTAAAGCTCAAGATCAGTTCCAGGAAACAATACAGAAACACTCAGTACCCAATAAAGTAAAATCCAAAATGCCTGGGATCTAGTCAAAATTTACCAGGTACACAAAGAAACAGAAAAACATGATCTAAAGGAGGAAAAATATCAATCAAATTAGACCTAGAAATGATATAGATGAAAGAATTAAAAGGCAAGGATATTAACATAGTTCTTAGATATGTGTTCTATATTCCAAAAGGTAAAGACTGGGTATGTTAAACAGACATGGAAGAGCAAAGAAAAAGACCCAAAAGAACTGGAAGAAAGGTACTAATAAGTACGATTAGCAGTTAGTCAGGAACTTTGAACAGAGAAGAAACAAAGTATGTGAAGAAGTAACAGCTCAGGAAATTTCCACTCAAGAGACTCTCAAGCTACATCAAGGTGCATCATCATCAAATTGTTTAAAATCTTCAAAGTGCTAAGAAAAAGGGAGCAGTGACATGCAAAGGAACAAGAGGGGAATGACAGAGCCGGCCTCAGAAAGAACGCACACCAGAACATGGGAGACAGCATCTTTAGACACGGGAAGGGAAAGAAGCCTGTCAATCCTGAGTTCCACACCCAGGAAAATATCTTCCATAAAGGAAGACAAAGATTTCTTCAAAACGAACAAATATATATAAAAGAATAAAGAGAAGAATTTCTCAGACACACAAAAGCAGAGGAGACCTGCGCCACAAGAAACAAAGGCCTACGGGGGGAGCAAGGAGGCCAGAGGAGGCGCAGACCTAGACACGCACAGGAGCAGCACTGTATGTGGTAAATGGGGATAAATAGGAAACATAGTCTCCTCATTTTAATCTCTTTAAAACTGACTTGTTTGAAGCAGACAAAATCCTGTGTGGTGTCACAGTGACAGCGCCAGGCAGCGTGGGAGGTGGACGGATGCCGCAGAGGGTGGGCAGCAGGGCGAGATTAACTACAGGCAGGTGCAGACCCGCTAAACATGTCACCACAACCCCTATAAGCAGCCACAAAAACAACACAGTTATTTCTAATAAACCAAAAAAGGAGACAAAAATAATGAATTTAACCCAAAAGAAAGGGAGAAAAGGAAAGAACACAGGAACAGTATAGACCATGAGGAAACAAGCAGCAAATTTAAACCCAAGGACGTGATTGATGACTGAAAGGAGAACAGTCCAAACTCCCCACTTAGCTGGCAGCGATCTTCAGACTGGCTCAGAAAAGCACGACCCGACTCGAGGCGCCCACAGGAAGTCCTTCAAACTATGAAGATGCAAACGGGCTAAGGGCACAGGCACCACGCTGCGCCACGCCACGCTAGCAGTGACTGAACAATGCAGAGCGGTTACACCGATCCCAAAGCGAACTATTACCAGGGAAGAAGGGCCATTTTATAAAAGACTATTAATCAACCAAGCGAACTACAGTTGAAAGCAGTGCCCAACCATGGACAAGCGAGTGGCTGCCGCAGAGGGGCTCCGCGCGGTCAGCGCTCCGCAAGTCGCCTGCCCTCTCAATCAGCTCGCCTTCGACCACTTTTCCCTTTCTTTTGTCAACCCTTCATTTGTCAGAGCTTTTCCTCTGAGCTGTCTCTCTTAAAACTTCTATGGTTCAAGTTTTACAACAGACACAGGGCGTGTTGTTTGGAATAATAGAAATATACCAACATCCATGTCTGCAGCCAAAAGTAGAAAATCCTTTTCGGTTATAGTCTTTACAAATATCTCTCAGGACCTGTGTTTTAAATATTATTGTGAGTTTATAAACACATCCAGGTCAGCAGAAAGAAAGAGGATGATCCTTCATATTTAGAACTTTAAAAAAAAAATGGACAAAAAATTCAATCCTAATTACTTTTCTTCACATATAAAAGTAGGAAAAAAAGCCTGAGCTGAACAGAAAGTAAAATTTGTTAGAACAATGCCAGTCAAGAAGAGTATAACTTCTTACCCTAGGTTTGTCACAATCCTCACTTGCATGCACACTCATCCATTTCCCCTACGGAGACGGTTCTGAGTATGTACGCAGCTCGAGTAACTCGGGCCTAACAAAGACCTGTGACTGACAAACCAAACTTCCTGGGGTCTTGAAGAGTCCCGGCGGCAGACAGCCCCCACGCTCTACACAGATCAGGAGCTGACTCCATCGGAACCCTGCAGGAAGGCTCATTGTAGTCTCAGGCCACAACGGCCAGGTTTTTACTACAGTCCACCTCAATTTAAGTATCTGGACAAGCAAGAGATTTTACAGCCAAGCAGTAATGGCAGACGACTTCTCATGACTCTGTCTGCCACTATCAAATACTGTCATTTCCTAAGTTTATTGCCTAAGTTGGTACTTTTCAAATTAAACGATCTGCAGATCCATTTACGTGAAAAAGATGTCCCAGCCTTTCACTGTACCAACTTCTGCATTGGTCCTGGTGGGTCAGCCTGATTCAGGAACAGGCCACATTCCCTGCGCTCTTCAGAGAATCCCCCTCTTGTCATGAAGAGATTTGTTCTGAAAGGTTATTTAACACACAGGTGCCTGGGTGGCTCAAACAGTTGAGTGTCCCACTCTTGTTTCAGATCGGGTCATGATCTCAGGGTCGTGGGACGGACCCCCACGTTGCACTCTGCACTCAGCGTGGAATCTGCTGCTCCCTCTTTCTCTTTCTCTGCCCCTCCCTCCATTTACATGCATTTTCTCTCAAATAAATAAAATCCTTTTAAAAATATTTACCTAACATAAAAATATGTTATCTTAACCTGTGGGTTTTGTTATTTTTAAATGAATATTTAAAAGTTTGAGTACCACTCTAACAAACAAATCACACTGTAACTTACAGTGTGTAAGTCCTGGGAAGAAAGTGTTGCTGTGCATATACTTTAAAATATACCCTCCAAGAAACACAGAAGTAAACAGAAATAAAACAAAAACACACACAAAAAAAGCCTGAGCACCCTTCCGAGGAGACTTACTTCTACAGGAGTGGACTCGGGTATTTCACGCAGGATCACGATGCAACGACTCTGATTTGGCCTTACTTTTTCTCCCTTCTCATCCACTTGGACTAATGGTAAAGCTACAAAGAGAAGAAAAATGAAAGGTAAAACACAAATATTGAAACAAATCATTTGCATTCTAGTTACGACATAATAGGGACACTACAGTGTGATGTGCTATGTTGTATTTAACAAAACACCCTGAAGACACATATATACAGTGGGTTACCTCAACACAAACCATCAGGTTTTATGCCCAACCTGCATGTTACATTTTTCAAAACAAAGGAACACAAGAATTAAAAAAAAAAAATCCTTTAGGAGCTAGAATAAATTTAACAGCATGAAACAAGGATTTTCAAACAACTACATGTAGATCACAACTCAGTTATTAGCTTCTTTTCTTCTACAAGCCCTTAATGTAAAAATCATTTAGAACTCAGAAGGTTCCATGTGTGCCCCAACAGCTTTTCCCAGTGATGACATCCTCCAGACCACAGGCCATGGTCAGCACAAGGAGGCTGGTGCTGGGGCAAGTGCTAACACAGAGAGGCTGGATTCCGACCTCACAGTTTCTATACACCTTCCTTTGTGTGCTGTTTTGTTTTGCTGTCACATCTGTGAAACCACATGATGTGTGGATTCCAGTCACAACACAGCATGATCACAATCGGGCGCAGAGCTGACCACCCCCACACAGGGTTACCAACAGCAGGAATGGAAGACTGAAAAAATTTCTCAAAAAACTAGAATTGAGGTTAACAAAGTTTCAGTATCCAGGACCAATACATGAAAATGAAATGTTTTTCTACATACTAACACCTATGCAAAACTGTAATAAACACATTATTTAAAACTGTCAAAGACAAGAAATCATCATATATCTTGTCAGATATGGACAATTTGTGCATTGAAAAGTGCAGAACATTACCAAGACAAAATTTTAAAAGATATAAGTAAATGCAGATACTGTGTTCAGTGAATGGAAAACTCACTAGCATTATGATGTCAATTCTCCCCATACTGATTTATAGATTCAATGCAATCCCAATAAAAATATTTCTGAAAAACTGAAACACTGATTTTAGAATTCATATAGAAATGCAAAGTCGGAGACTTCGCACCTAAGCCAGAGTGACCAAGACACTGCAGTGTAGGTGTCAAAAGAGGACACAGCCCCAGAGATAAACCCATGGTGCTGGCCAGATGATGCTGACAACAGCACCAAGTACAACTTAGTGGAGAAGGGAGAGCCCTTTCAGCTAGTGGTGCTAGAACACCTGCAGACCCACATGTGAGGGGGCTGAGAACTGAGATCCATACCACAAGCCACATACAAAGAGTAGCTTCAAATGGACCAAAGACCTAAAGACGTAAACCCTCAAACTATAAACTTCTGGGAGGAAACTTCCATGACTTTGGATTAAGCACAGTTTTTTTTTTTAGATACAACACCAAAAGCAAGATATATAAAAGAAAAAAAAATCGGGGATCCCTGGGTGGCGCAGCGGTTTGGCGCCTGCCTTTGGCCCAGGGTGCGATCCTGGAGACCCGGGATCGAATCCCACGTCGGGCTCCTGGTGCATGGAGCCTGCTTCTCCCTCTGCCTGTGTCTCTGCCTCTCTCTCTCTCTCTCTCTCTATGTGTGACTATCATAAATAAAAAAAAAACAATAATTAAAAAAAGAAAAAAAAAATCAATAAATTGGACTATACAAAAAGTTCAAAACTATGTTGTTCAAAAGACACTATTATTAGAATAAAAAAGAGAAGCTAGAGACCAGGAAAATGTATTTGCAAATCACATACCTGGATAACACCATATATCCAGGAAACAGATAATGCAGATCTCAAATTACACACACACCCGTCAAACCTCAATTATAAGAAAACTAATAAAATGGTGGTAGGTAGAGGGGGGCACGTGAATAGACCCTTCAGCAAAAATAAAAGGATTGCATAAACAAGCACATGAAAAGATTGTTCGATGTCACCAGGCATGAGGGAAATAAATTAAAACTACAATGAGATAAAATTAGGAAATCTGCAAGTAAAATGCCCATGTGAACCAAGTGCTGGCACCGCAGGTGACACTCACTCTGTACACAGGTAGGCGGTTTCACAAGTTAAAACCCCCCTACCATACCATCCCGGCTACTCACCAAGGCTACTGACCTAGAGAAACGGAAGCCTCTGTCACACTGACTTTTACATCTTAACGTAGTAGTCAAAACCCGGCAGTAACCAAAGTCTATCAACTGGGTGAATACACCAAATGTGGTCTGCCTACGAGATGGAGTATGACTCAGCAATAAAAGGCTATAAAAGCTACTGATAATACTCAACAACAATTATGCCGAGTGTAAGAAACCAGACCCCCTCCCAAAAAAGGGCTATAGCATGACTGATTTCATTTACACACAGTTTTTAGAAAATGAAAACTATAGTGACAAAAAGCAGATGAGTGGTTGCCTGAAGCAGGAGGAAATTCTGGGGGGTGGGGGTGGGGGTGTGATAGTATGTTCATTGTCTTGATTATGGGAGTTCTGTGCGCATGTATAAGATGTCAAAACTTGACAAACGTACACTTAGACCATGTGCAATTTAAGGTGTGTAAATTCTACCTCAAGAAAACTATAAAAACAAAACAACAAACAGGGTTGGCGAAACTCTCTGTGCCTCTCACCCCAGGGTCTGGAACCCAGTTCAAGGTGCCGCCCCCCCCCCATCCCCCCCACCCCCCCGGACATAAACATTCATCTTTAAGCAGGAGGGTCGGTCCTGCTCAGATCTTTATACTCTTTTACCTCTGAACCCACGAAAAGCAGAGTTCTATTTTACTCCTATCTAAACTCTATACAGAGGTTACCATCCTATACATATCTGAAATAGGCTTTGGTATTCAGAATCATGATTTTTTTAAATGGATTCTTGTTGAAAATATAGGCCGAGTTCATTTTAGTTGTTCTGGTATTCACTGTGTGACTATCGTATTTATTCATACTCTGGTGACAAATATCTGAGTCTATTTTTAAATTAGGAATTTCAACTACATTAAGTGTAAAAGCATCTGAATCAGACATTCTGTACCCTGCAGCACCATGTACCATGCATATTAAGATATAAAGACATAATTTATGCAATTCAATCAACACTAGAATTTTGGTGTTGTACGAGCAAATATTCAAATTAAAACAAAATGTTATCAAATATCTACTGTGAAAAAAAAATATCTACTGTGTATCTAACTTTATGTTGGGCATTTTGCAGATGGGGTTAAGATGCAAACAGATCTCTGCTCACAGAGGCTTATGTATGTCACCCTCTCCAGAAGTACAACTAATATGCTAAGTACACTCTATTCATTAGGTTATTACATGTGCACATATATTTCTATCTAAAAATGGGTGTGAAAAGAAGCAATTAGACATTAAAGAGCTGAACGAAGATGGATAGGAGGTACCACTACAACTCAAGACCCTCCCTACCAGCACTGGAAGGAAAGGTGGAGGAGGGGTGGAGAGGGTGGACAGCAGAGGGCTGTCTGTCCATGGAGACAAACGGCTCCCTGAAGCAAACACACAGGGCAACTGAACATCCTCGTGGTCTGCATGAATGACTCCTAGCCAACAAGCATCAACCGGGAGACTGGCCACGGGGCAGCCAAGTTTCCAAGGAGTGCCTACATGAAATATCGACATCTGGGATTTCTAATAATAAAGAACGTTAACCAAGTGAAGTGTTTTTAGGTTAGGAAAGCCACTCGCCTTCTAAGTGGGTCAGACAGAACCAAACTCAACTGATCCATCAAACAGATTTCTGTTCTGAACAGAGTGTGAAAAACAAAGCAACACTGGAACACATCTTGGGCACACTATCTTGGGCACACTATCTTGGGCAACAGTGGTTATAATTTACAGAATAAAACTGCATAGACGGTGTTTGCTCATGTCTTCACTATGTGCTTACAACCTTTGCCTGGGAACACAAAGTAGTGACTGCGATTTGTGAATAGAAGTCCAGCTAAGTTTTAAGATAACATGTTCACCTATTCTTCTGTTAAGTCAGATGCACACAAGAAAACATCATCACTGCCTGTCAGCCAAGCCAGAGACAGTACGTAAACACTACGGCCTACATATCAGTGATGGAAAGTCATAGTGGTGACACAGGGAAGTGGGGCTTTGAGGCATGATGGGTGTGTCCTCACTGAGAAATTTTGGGGCAGGGGAACACAGCATACACCGTGTTGTTTGGAAGGACTCAGAACAGCCCTGAGAGGGGAGGGTACAGAAATAATTCATCTGGTACTTGCAGTCCTGTTACAGAAAGTGACTTTTTATAATTAAGACAATCCCTAAATTTAAAAAGATACCTGATATTTATATTTAACATAAAATATTATATGAATTTATATACTAATATATTTATAAATATAATTTATAAATTATAAGTTTTATATTGTTTTCTATTTTTTATATTTCTATACTTATAAATAAGTATAGATTCATATATACTTATAATTTATATATTATATATTTTATATATTATATAATATATTGTATAAATAATCATGTATATTTAATTTAAAACTCATTCCCCAGTGATGCCATGCTTGATGGTGGCAGGGAGGGGTGGAAGCATTATAAAGGCACTAAGAAAACCCCAGGCAGTGATGGTTCCACTCACGTACACTGGAGTCCACCCGGACCCAGCTGTGCACTTCACGTACACACAGTGGAGTTCATAGCATATGAGTTACAACCTCTGTCCAACGGTGACTTTCACAACATACATAAAATGGTTAGGTTGTAGACACCTCAACACAGCTTACAAGCCCATACTCCCTGAACCTCTGTGGGTCTCCAGGATATTTAAACCTCCCTCTGATGTTGCCAAATGTCCCAGAAATAACTTCATTCACAACACCCTTTTAAAGTAAAACAGTAATATTTCACCAAAACTTTAGCAGGAAGTTGAAATTTAAAGAAGGCCTTTTTGGTGCTAGAATGCTAATGAGAACGTATTGTACTTGACGTTAAACACCACCATTTACTGTACTTTTCAGCAATATCCCAGCCGTCATCGTCTCTGCAGAAGCCTGTCTTCACCCCGGCCCTGTGATCTGCGACATCCTGGGTCTGAGCTATGTAGCCCTTCGATGCACCTCCCCAGCCACAGGGACCAGAAAAACCAGGAAGGTGTGGGACGACCCTGCCTGCCGTCAAGTAACTCAGCACTAAACGACTATGGGACCTGAAGGCCAGGTCCGAGTCAGCCCACACTGCCATATACTTACACCGCAGCACTTCCACAATCAAGTTCATGTCCGTACTGAGCTTCTTGACGTGGTCCAGGTTAGCTACCGTGGTGATTGGCACATACTGATCGCTGTCCATCTGCGATATGAGGTACATGTCACTAGCAAGGTTCTCCCTACACAGAGAAGACAACAGCTTTTAATCAATCCTTCTTTAAAAGGAAGCTTCCAAAGAAGTATAAGCGTGGCACGTTAGTGCTTCAGAGCTAGATCAGAGTTCGAACCTCAACTGTTTCTTATCATCTCTCTGGCCTTAGGTAAAAATTTTTAAAGACATTTGGGGAGGCAGGGAAGCCAAAAGTACAGTGCACATTTTATAATCACAACTAATGAGTGGGGAAACCCTTAAAACACGTATTTATAGTTCTACATGTTTGCTCTACACAGTGTTTGCCTCACTTACTAAAAATACAGTTTTGGGCAGCCCCGGTGGCGCAGCGGTTTGGTGCCGCCTGCAGCCCAGGGCGTGATCCTGGAGACCCTGGATCGAGTCCCATGTCAGGCTCTCTGTGTGATGCCTGCTTCTCCCTCTGCCTGTGTCTCTGCCTCTCTCTCTATCTCTCTGTGTCTCTCATAAATGAATAAAATCTTAAAAAAAAAAAAAAAGATTTTATTAAAAAAAAAACAACACAGTTTTTTTAGATAAGAAAATTCAGCTGAAAGAACACAAAGCTAAGGAAACTATGGAAAGGCTGGTGCCCAGGTGGCTGCTGTGCCACCAGGAACACATGCCAGGAGAGCTGCAGCTCCAGCCAGGGGCAGCCAGAATTACAGAGGAGGAAACGGGACCAAGAACACAGCCCCTGGCATCATGACAGGTAAGCTGCAGGCACCAGCAGCTCAGGGGAAGGTGAGACACTTGCTGGTGTTTGGGCCTGTGGTGCATGCTTCTCGGAAGTCTCCATAAACAGGACAATGTGCTCAAAACATCCCAACACTGACACAGGTCCCAGTAAAGGTCGAGGACAGTCTCGAAGATCCATGAAGACGCAGATCCACAGCAGGCCATGCTGCTAGGTCCCCACCCTCCGGGAGTGCAGGAGAAGCAGGACAGGGCTGTGTGAAGTGCCAACCCCACCGCCACCTCACAGCCTTACAGCAGCAGCTGTCCTTTCAGAGCACGCCCTGAGGCAGTGAGCAGGGGTCCTAACTGTGGTGCTGTGGGCCGGAAAGGAAAGCTGGGGCGCACCCCCCCACCTGTCCCATCCACACGGCCCCATGGTCTCTACAGCGGCCCTCCTCAGATGCTCTGTGCATGTCTCGAGGCAGACCCAGAGAAACACTTGAAAAATTGCCATCCCTGAGCAAAAGCCTTACACGCGGCCTATCAGTTATCTTCACACTCAAAGAAAATGACCCACCACCCAATCCCATCTTCCTGTATGTGTGGTCCTGCCACATTGAACTTTAAAGGTTCTCTTCCGTTTGTCAGCAAAAAGGCACTACTCAGGACAAAGAATAACTGAAAATAACAGAGCGATCAGCTGGTGCAGGGTTGCCCTACCAGGAGAACTAGCATAGGAAACGAGTCCTCAGACGTCACTGTGCTCAACAGTGTCTCTGAGACGGATGAACTGAGGCCCCGCCCCCAGAGTCTGATTCCCTGGGACTGGGGGGCAGGGGGTGGCCAGGACTCGAATTTCAAAAAGCAACCCCCAGGTACGGACCCATCACAATGGACCTGTGGAGACCCGAGGGAACCAGGACCAGTTCTCCACCGTATCAGAGCTATGACTACTGCACATTCTCCATTTCCTATGAAGAGCTACACACAGACCGAGGTATCAGCTGACCTATACCCTTCCCAACAGTTTCCCATCTGTATATCATAACCAGTGCACAACACCTGAGACAGTGGCTTCTAGAAAAACCACTATGATCCTTACCTAGATAAGCAGAATTCCAATGTCTTTTTAAGTACTTCTCGGGGGTCCTCCTGGCTTTCCGGTTGAGATTCATTTCCTCCTACATAAAACAAATGATCACCTCAGGAAAAATGGCTTAAAATTTACCAAGCAGATGATTCAACACAGATTCTCATGTTTTCAATATACATATTAATTCATCTACCCTGTGCAGATAGTAATAAAATCACTATTTTACCTACTAAAACAAAAGAAATCAGATGCAAAAAAGTTAAAATCCTATTTCTCCTAAACAAAAACAATAGTTTCAAAAATAATCTGTAGAGTAAGATTTATTAGCAAGGTTTACAGGTACTTCTTTCCCCTCCAGAAAAAAAAAGTGTAAGTTTAATACCTTGTCATAATTGAAAAAGGACTTTCAAGTAGTCTACAAGAACGCAGACACTAAAACAATACAATAAAAAGGAAAGAATAAAAACAAGGAAATAGACAAATTCAGGCCAAAAACATAAAGGCTGGGGATTGTAAGCACACAGGCTGTTAAGGACAATGCAGTCCCTCCACTGGAGCCTTATGAACTTGCTTTTTAAACATCCAGCCACTCAGAGCTACAGGTAAGTGCTGTGCTTCAGAAACCCCATGAGAGAATACCACGTAAGCAGACCCTCAACAGGACACAGAGGTTGGCACCAGCTTCTAGCAGACACTTGTCCTAAGATGCCAGATGGCACAGTGGACGACGTCTGAGCATGTGTCCTGTGAGGCACTAGTCAGACTAGAGAGGGCTGGAGGTCAGGGCAAGGCCCCGGCACCAGCTGGTACCCACACACCATGAGAGCAGGATTTTCATACTTAAGTTTGCTGAGGCCCCCACCCCTTCCCCAGCACTCGGCACGAGGCGAGGGCCCCACTTTTAGGATGGCCAGAATTATCAAAGGCACCAAAACACTAAGAACTAACAGTTTTTCATTCACTTCTACATAGATCTGAATAATACTACATGTGCAATTTTCTGACAACAAACGCTTAAATTTTAAAAGTCAAAGACCATCAAAAACTAAGGTCAAAGTAGGGTATTTATTAACAAATAAAGACAGAGCTTGTGCCTGTTTCATACAGAGCTTTAACAAAATCCAACCCCAACTAGCAAAAGCAAACAAACAAAAAAACCCCAACCAACTCAAAACAAGAAAATAAAATTAATGGACTTGATGAAGCTAGAGCTTACAAATGGCCCTTGAAACCACAATCTAATGCCATTCCTCTGTCCAGAAAGGCCTCTCCTGAGCACTCATTTAAATGCACTTTCCGCCACAGATTTCAGACATGTACGGTCTCCTGCATGCCAGGCACTACTGCAACACTGTTTATTCAGCCTAAAGAAGGCAACCTCTCAGCTCTTGGTGGGACAGGCAACCTATAGTTGAATAAACAAACATTACACATCAACTCAGACAGACTCAGACACAAGGGACGCTACCCCATGGCACGGGGAGAGCACGCCGGGGCTGCTGTAGGCCAGCCACACGGTACTCCAGACGTGGCACGGAGCAGCACCGGCGGGGAGACGGCGGGCCGGCCGGGGACGTGGGGAGCGCGCTGTCTAGCAGGGGGTGCAGGAGGGCATGGCACTGGGCTGGGGGCCCTCAACACCTGGGAGGCCAGCATGTCCAGGAGGGAAAACAGGGGGCCACACTAAGAATGAGGCCACAGAGTCAGGGAGGCTGGCTGTCACACCCAGCCACAGTGAGGACATGAGAAATCTAACCCAAATGTGACAGGAAACCAATTTACGTCTTGGAGAGATGGCTCTGCTCTGCGCTGAAGATGGACAGTGACGGCACAAGAGGGAAGCCAAGAGCCTGTGTGGATGCCAATGTAACAATCAAGGATAAACTATGTTTGAGACTATTCCAGGTAAGGGGAGGACTTCAGCCAAGAACACAGGAAGAGCCGAGGTCTAGGACTGACCCCTGGGCATGCCGATCATGGCACGGTCGGGTGATAGAAGCCCCGGATTCCACACTCGGTCTGGCAGCACCACGTCACTGGAGCCCTGGAGGACGGTGGTGCTGGGGATGAGGCTACGGCCACAGTCTATCTGGACAGTGCATGAGAGGACCCGGGAGGCAAACAGCTGGTCCAGACGATGCTTCTGCTGAGTTCTGCTCAGGAAAGACAGGGTGTGCAGGCGGTCTCATTTAACATAAGAGAGTACAGAGCTACGTGGAAGACTCCTCACACAGCCGAGGGAGTAGGGGGTCACAGACAGAGGCTGTGAGACATATAGGTGACCAGGGAGTAAAGTTCTCTTCTGACAGCTCCAGTCTTCACAATTAAGACTGACACGAGGTCATCTGCTTCTAGGCAAGAGAGAACAACCAGCGAAATAGCTGAGGATGGAGGGGGAGTGCCAGCAACGAGATGGCAAAATAGGAAGATTCCCACTCATTTTCCCCTCAGCAACAACCCAGCATCCAATCTCAGAACAAAGCACCCTATAGGAGCTCTGGCATCAGGGAGGACACTGAAACCCAGGTGCAGTCCAAGGCTAAGCAGGGCTGTTTGAGAAGGCAGACCTGCCTCCAGGCAGCTGACTTGCCAACAGGCCCAGCCACAGATCCAGAAACCCTCTGCTGCCTAGGGACTTGGCCATGACCCTGTTTGGCTTGATCCGGACCCCAGCATCATCTGGCAAGGAAGAGCCTTGCCCACCTGAGCCCCGGATCATAGGCACACAAGACCTTATGCCTGGATGGGGAGCCCACAGGGGCCCACGACCCAGCTCCAGTCCCAATGGGCTGCAGTTCAGTTGACATACTCAGGCAGACTGCAAGTCCTACAAGGGCCCTGGAAGTAGGCTCCAGCCATCTCCAGCCACCCTGAGCAGGCCTGCTGGCCAACGGTTCCCATGGAAAATGCCTGTAGTTGGTACCTCTGGACACAGGCCAGCCGACTTGAGGCTGACAACAGGTCCTCAAGTGAACCTATGACTTGGCTTCAAACTCTCCCAGCTGCACCACCCAGATATATACCCATCATCCCTGCCCCCACAGCCCCCGGGGACCAGCCAAGATCCACAGCCAGCTAACAAGCTCACCAAACGTTGACTCCAGTGCAGACCCAGCTCCGACCCAGCTCCAACCCCGCATAACTGCAAATGCAGAGGGAATGCCATCGGCCCGAACCCACAGGAGAATGTCCCTGCCTGACAAAACCCAGTCTGTAAAGACAGGAAGAGGTGTTTGGTCCACAACTGCACAGCATTAAAATGTGGCTACAAGACTCAGGTACATAAAACACCACCCAAAGAAACTAACCAGGCTCTAAACAGATGGACAATTGGCCTAACAAATGATTCAAAATAATCACCTTAAAGAAAGTCCATGAAAATCTAAGAGAACACACACAGAAACAACTAAATAACATCAGGAAAATGATGCAGAAACAAAATAAGAAGTTTAGTAACGAAAGAGAAAACACGGAAAAGAATCAAACAGAAACCCTGGAGTTGAAGAGCGCAAGACCTGAGAACTCAAGAGAGCGCTTCCACAGCAGGGTCAAACGTACACAGGGAAGACTCAGCAAACGCAGACAGGTCATGTGACATAACCCAGTCTGAGGGATGAAAAGAAAAAACAATGAAGACCCCTGGGGAAGTGTGAGTGAGTAATGTGGCACCATGTGTTGTAATTCTGCACATGAATGCCAACTACCTGAAAGAGATTGAGAAAAATAAAACCATTCACAACTGCGTCAAAGGGAACAAAATACTGAGGAACAAATTCAACCAAAGAAGTAGAAGACCCGTACCCTGAAAACCATAGACACTGATGACGGAGTAAGACACAAATAAGTGTTGGGAAAACCGGACAGCGACATGCTAAAGAATGAAATAGAACCTTTATTTTGCATCACATACAAAAATCAACTCAAATGGATTAAAGATGAACATAAGACCTAAAACTGTGGAACTCCTAGAGGAAAACATGGGGAAAAAGCTCCTTGACACTGATCTTGGCAACAACTTTTTGGATGTGACACTAAAAGCACAGACAACAGAAGCAAAAACAAACAAGTGGGATGACATCAAAATAAAAGCTTCTGCCCAGCAAAAGAAACTATCAACAACAACAACAAAAAAAGAAACTATCAACAAAATGAAAAGGCAGTCTACGGAATGGGAGAAAATATTTGCAGTATCTCTATTTATCTATAATGGGTTATATCCAAAACATAGAAGCAACTCATTCACACTTAATAGTAAAACAAAACAAAATCCTGATTTAGAAATGGGCAAAGGCAGGGCGCCTGGGTGGCTCAGTCAGTTGAGCGTCTGCCTTCAGCTCACTCAGGTCATGATCCTGGCGTCCTGGGATCAAGCTCCACATCTTCGGGCTCCCTGCTCAGTGGGGAGTCTGCCTCTCCCTCTGCCCCTCACCCTGCCCCTGCTCATACTCACTCTCCATAAAATCTTTAAAAGAAAAAAAAATGGGAAAAAGACCTAAATAGACATTTTCCCAAAGATTTACAAATGGCCAGCAGGTACATGAAGAGGTGCTCAACATCACTAACCATTAGGGAAATGCAAATTAAACTACAATGAGCTATCACTTCACACCTGTTAGGATGGCTATCATCAAGAAACCAAGATAACAAGTGTTGGTGAGGACTGGAGAAAGGGGAGCCCTCATCCACTGCTGATGGGAATGCAAGCTGCTGCAGCCACTCTAGAAAACAGTAAGGAGGGTCCTCAAGAAGGTAAAAATAGAGCTGCCCTACAACCCAGCAACCCTACTTCTGGGCATATATCCCGAGGAAATCAAACAGTCTCCTGAAGAGCTCCCTGCGCTCCCATGTTCACTGCAGCACTATTCACAGTAGCCGAGACCCAGGGCCCACGAGAGCGGCCATCTGCAGATGCACAGGGAAGGAAGATGTGATATCCACACACAATGGGTTATCAGCCATAATATAGGAGGAATCCTCCCATGTGAGACATGAGCCTTGAGGCACGGAGCTAGGTAATATAAGTCAGAGCAAGGGAAAAACTACATGATCTCACCTGTATGTGCAATCATAAAAGTTAAGATCCTACAA